CTCTCTCTCTCTCTCTCTATATATATATATATATATATATGCACCTAAAGCTGGTTGGAGAAATAAATTGGGCCGTTGCCAACCTGATATGTACCAGCCTTGGCTAACACCTGGAGATTTCAATTTAATTTATTTTTTTCTGTCTCACTGCCTAGAGAAGCTAGAAACACAATGGTTTTTGGCTCTTAGCTGAGAAATCAAATTCTGTCATTGTCTGGGGGGTAATTATTAGATCAAGAATCTAAGTCAACCCATAACAAATAATAACAATAGTAGTATATGTAGTCAACTGCCATCACTCCCAATGCTGTGTGAGACCTGGAGGTATGAAGCAGAAATTACAAATGTAAACATTTCTCAACATCTCCCAACAGTTATTTTTGTCTTATATAATAATAACTTGCTTGACGTCACTGTCATCTGATGGTCTTGTTTAGGAAACAATAACTCAAACATGATTTTCTTTGGACATAGCCTTAAAAAAAATAGTTCCCTTTAAAATTTTTTACTTGAGTTTTCATTTTCACCTATCGGGTCCATTCCCTGAAGAAATTCCAGGGAAATGTTACATTCTCTCTTCTCCTGCCAGGCCCTTTTTACATATGCAAAGGAGAAACTTTCCCAGCGTGGATTGATTGGGGCACAGGGAGAAGGCTTCTGGGTTAGACCCCATAGCGTGGGCAACAGCCACTTTCTAGGGTGCTTGCTAGGTTCTGTGGAGGCCACCCTTAGCCCAGTCCTTTCCCAGTTTTCTCCCTTTGAGGGAAGTGAGGGCAGGGCCAAAAAAAAAATCAAAAAGCAAGGAGGAGATTAAGAAAGTCGTTGTCAGATTCCAGGAGGGCATTGCCACCCCCAAGTCCTGAACCCCATCAGCCTGCATTCATCGGAGTTTTACAGATCTTAGAAACGTCCTCCGGAAATTCAACCAAATTGTATAAATAGTCTTTCTTCAGCCTCCACAGAATTGAGGATTTTAAAGCTAATTCAAGGGTTTTACAAGCCCAACAAATACAGTTGTAAAAATGCCATTGGAAAGATACCACGTTTTACAAAATGAGATTGATCCATGTGCTGTAAAAGTCAACTATCTCTAAGGCACACCTATCAAGCAAGGGCAGCCAGGGACACGCTTTTCACCTCCTGTCTGGGAAAGGCCAGGCCTGTGACAACGGCAAAAGCAATGCAGACGATTCCTGGAGCCCGTGAGGCAACTGTTCCCGGCACTGGGGCAACTGCAACCGGCAGGCCCCCAGCAGTCCCAGGAAAGGCAGGGGAGAGGGTACACCCCAGGAAAGTGCGGGCTGTTGGGCACCCCAGAAACCAAGCACATCAATTACCCCACAGCCTTTGGGACATCCCAGCTGCCCTCTATGCCTGGCTCGGCAGGGACCTTGGGATGCCGTGCCTCCAGAAAGAGGACAGATATTCCACATCTGGATCTGTCTCAGCTCTGAGCACTTCGGGTGTTGAGAGGACGAGTCCCAAGGGCTGGGTGAGGGGAGCAGGTTCCCCCGTTTTGCTTCGAAGCTCTGTCTCCAGGCCACTCCCCTGTAGGTCCCTTTCTTGTTGAAACCAGTGGTTTCTGGCCTCTGGATTCCTGGGTTCAAAGGTGGTATGGGGACGCACAGCTTGTGGGGTGCTTTGAGGCCAGGCGGTCGTTGGCCATTGGAGGGGAGCCCGTCTGGACTCCAAGGAGACGTGTTGTATGTGGGCGGATGGGGCTGCCAGGGGAAGACGTTTAGCCGCGATCTGGTCAGCTCGAGGTGAGCCTTCGGCTCCAGGCGGTAGCGAGGCCCAGGCCCCTGGTGGGAGTGGGAAGGAAAGAGGGAAGGGATGCACGGATTCCTAAGACGCAGGAGTGAGGAGCTGGGCGTGAAGGCCTGGTTTCTCAGGCCCCCTTCTTCAGTCCCGGAACCCGCACCCACGGGCGGGGGAGTGCAGAAGGAGGGGCACGCTCAGGGCCCTGCGGGGCGGGCAAGCCGGCCGGGAGCTAAGCCGTCGTGGTCACCGCCCCTCCCGGCGCGGGGCTGTCAGGTTTCCTGTTTGGAAAGAAAAACCAGCAAAATCCGAAAAGGCAAGAAGGGGAGGAGGAGGGAGCGGGCCTGGCGGGGCCTTTGCGGCGGCCTGGACTCTAAATGCCCCTACCCCGGCCTGATTCGCACGCCCCTGCCCGGGCCGTGCCCGCCGCTGGCGTTCGGAAAGAGAGCCGGGCCGGCTGGCTGTGCGCGCCCATTAATCTGCCGGGCGGGCGGCGGGCGGGCGGGCTGGGGGCTGTTTGTAACTTTGCTGCCTCGGTCGCCGCGGTCCCCGGGGAGCGGGCTCCAGCGCTCGCTCCCATTGGCCGCCGCCGCGTCAGCTGGTGCGATTTGCTGCTGTCGCTTTTGGCGTTCGGCCATCCAGAAACAAACCAGTTCGATGACTACTAATAGTTATAGCCAGATGTACTAATACACAACAAATCACAGTCCTGCAGAGGGGCGCGCAAATGAGTTCCTATTTTGTGAATCCCACTTTCCCCGGGAGCCTGCCCAGCGGCCAGGACTCCTTCTTGGGCCAGCTGCCCCTCTACCCGGCTGGCTATGACGCGCTGAGGCCCTTCCCGGCCTCGTACGGGGCGTCGAGCCTCCCGGACAAGACGTACACCTCACCTTGTTTCTACCAACAGTCCAACTCGGTCCTGGCCTGCAACCGGGCGTCCTACGAGTACGGGGCCTCGTGTTTCTATTCTGATAAGGACCTCAGTGGCGCCTCGCCCTCAGGCAGTGGCAAGCAGAGGGGCCCCGGGGACTACCTGCACTTTTCTCCCGAGCAGCAGTACAAACCCGACAGCAGCAGCGTGCCGGGCAAAGCCCTCCATGACGAAGGCACCGACCGGAAGTACACGAGCCCTGTTTACCCCTGGATGCAGCGGATGAACTCCTGCGCGGGTAAGGCATTTCCCCGCAGCCCCCCCAAGAGAGTGGAGGGAGAGGGGGAAGGGGGCAGGGAAAGAAGGAAGGAAGGAGGAGACGGAAATTAGAAAGAGGAAATGGAAAGAAAGGAGGAAAGAATGAACAAAGTTTCTTTGGCTTTTTTAAGAGATTAAAGAAAAAGAAAGAAAAAAGAAAACTAAGCCATTCCCACTGAGGCAATCAAGCTGTGGCAGAGTGAAGGCACGGCACTGGTGTCCATGTAAGGTGACACCCTAGGGGATCGAGAGGGGTCACTGCCACCCTACGTGAGACCCTGTGACAGGGGCAACCTGAACAGAGAGTGAGGCTGGAGGGGAGGGAGTGCCTGCCCACACATCCCCCTGGAAACACCCTGCACAGATCCCCAAGTAGAAGATGGCCTTCTGCACCCATCACTGATCATTCCCCTTCACCCCCCAATCCCTCTCCTTTCTGCCCTTCAAAACCCCATGTAGTTAGAGGCTCTCACTTGGCCTCTTCTAGTGTCTCCCCAAAGCCTTGGAGGGCCACATCCCCAGCCTCAGGAATTTTTTTTTCCTCTTTCTCCTCCCTTCCCTCCTCCCCCTTCCACTCAACTGCTCACTCTTAGCCAACTTCTGCCTCCTTTTGAGGCCCTGCCTGAGTCTCACACGCCCAGCCTGGGGGGAGCCCCCCAACCTTGGGTTCCTTTGGCACCAGAACAGATAGCCCATCACAGTCCTACATTTCCAGAAACCCCAGATGGCCCATAGCTCCATCCCTTTGCCTCTGGTTTCCAAAAACTCAACAGAGAATCCTAGGACAGAACCCAGTGCAGATTTTTAAGCTTCTAGTGTTTTGCTTTAAAAGCCTTGTGTTGTTTTGTTTTGTTTTGTTTTGTTTTCCAAGGGAGCTCTGCATTTTGCAGAAGGGCCATACAATTTGGGGGCGTTTGCAAAGATTTGAGAGGGCTGACCAGTTTTCATTTTCCAAAAAACATGTTGAGTCCTGACATGTCTGGCCACAGTAACACCTTCACAGAGATTCGTGTGTGAGTTCCGAGTGTCTACCCTACTCACAGGGCTCCACACCCATCACTTCCAGACACAAGCTCTGCACTCCCACAAAAACACGACCCAGGTACCCTGAATTAAGAATGCTCATTCTATTCCTTTTGCCTGTAATGGTTTTCTTGCAGAGCAGATTTTTCAAAAACAATAAGTTCTCACTTCAGGTTGTCTTAGGTGGAAAACATCTCGCTTGGTATGAAAGAATCTTCTCCCATCCTTCCCGATTTCGGCCTTAGACACAGCGAAAGAGGCTGGAGTGGAGAGGGGTGGTTTCCAGCTTAGAGGCCAGTGGCGCGGGGCGCGGGTCTGACTGGTTCGGCGGCCGGGATCCTCCTGGCTCACTGGCGCCCGGCCATTTCTGCCCGCAGGTGCCGTGTATGGAAGTCACGGGCGCCGAGGCCGCCAGACCTACACGCGCTACCAGACGCTGGAGCTGGAGAAGGAGTTCCACTTCAACCGCTACCTGACGCGGCGCCGCCGCATTGAGATCGCCAACGCGCTCTGCCTCACCGAGCGCCAGATCAAGATCTGGTTCCAGAACCGCCGCATGAAGTGGAAAAAGGAAAATAAACTCATCAATTCCACACAGCCCAGCGGGGAGGACGCTGAGGCAAAGGCGGGCGAGTAGACGCCTGGGCAGGGACCAGGCCAGCACCGCAACCTCCCTCGGCTTTGCCCCCTTGCCTTCGCCTGCTCCCCAACTTTTCTCCCCCCGCCTGCCCCCATCCGGGGGGCTTCTGCAGCTTCAGGGGAGCCGGGAGCTTTGCAAACGCCTGAGCATTTATTTCTCACACACACACAAAATCCCACACACAGCCAATCTCAGCGGTGGAGCGGGGCGCACTGCACACCCGGTCCCGCTCTCCAAGGCTGCCCTAGCCGGCTTCGGACCCCAGGGCGCGCCCCGAATTCGTCCCCGGCTCTTGTGCTAGCGCCTTTGCGCGCCCCTGAGCTCGGGACGCGGGGTTGCTGGAGAGGAAAGAACCTGGGCCGAGCCCCTTTTGGTGCCTGGGCGTTTTCGCCTCGGTCCCTCGCCACCAAGTCCCGGAGGGCACCACCAAATCGACTCCGGCCACTGGAAAGAGGGGGCATAAAGGCTGGGGCCCCAGCACTTTGGTGGCATCCCAGGCCGCCCCTAGACAGGAAGAAGCGTGAGGAACAAAGGGGGCCCTGAGACAGCCTTGTCTCTCGGCCCGCGCGCGACCGTCCGTGGAAGAGAAGCAGCCTCAGCTGAGCCGACCCAACCTGAGCGCGGGTGGAACTTTACAGCCCCGGGAGAGACTGGGCTCCCGAAGTCTCCAGCTCCGGATCCCGGATCCCCGCCTCCGACAGTGCCTGCGCAGCCACCAGAGAGTAGCTTTCAGGACCTAAGGAGGGGGCCCAGGGCCATGGGAACGGCAAGAGTCCTGGTTTCCAAATGTGCCAGGGGTGCCTGCGACGCTCAGCCTCCAGCGGGAAGTACCCTCCATGCCTTTCGGCTACATTCGTGATTCACTTTCGTCTTTCAGGACCCAGGAAAATAACTACGAAGATCCTAGGCACTAACACGAAATGCTTCCATTAGCACCCTCATTTTACTCCTGGAGATCTAAGCAAGACCCTAATAACTCGGCCCACGGATTCCCAGCCCCCAAACAGCTTCTGTGGCTGCGGGGAGCCTGGGCCCACTCGCTGGGTTCACCGAGAACCCTCCGAATTGGGGCCCGGCTGGCTCGAGGAAAGGGACCTGGTGGTGAAGATTCTCCAGGCCGGATACTTAAAGCAAATCAAATAGCGAACTAATGACACGAAAACCATATTTGCACGAAAGAAAAATCGACTCCGGTTATAAAAGTGTATGGAATTTGACCTCGCCTCGGAGAAACACTACACAAAAGCTATCTTTAATAGACGCCTGTCATTTAAGAGCGGCAGGGACACTGTCCCTCATGCACTCACAAAAAAAACAGAGCCGTAATTGTAGCTGCTGCTGCGGGCAGGATTTATTTCTCCAATTGGCTAAATGGCCTCCCCCCTTCCCCGAAGGTGATATCTGTATTTTCAAATTTCAGAGCTGCCGGCACGACGGGCAAAACCGACCCCAACCTCAACACAAAAATAAGAGGGGCTGCACAGCGGGGAAATAAAGTTGTTGTAAATAAAATCCAAGTCACCGTCTCCCCCCAATCCTCTGCATCCTCGCCGGGCGCGCGATCGGCAGCTGACGGCCTCACAATTGGTACATCCTAATGGAACTGCGAGGGAAATGCAATAATTTTGCCATAATGGGCTGTAACCTCAATTCGACCCCGGCCCTTGCAGCCCTCGGTCGGAAGCGGAGCGATGCGCCCTGCCTCCAGCGGGTGGCGCTCGAGTCCGACTGAACGGCGGCGGCGGGTGGCGGGCACGCGCCTGGGGCGCGCGCGCCACCCCTCTTGCCTCCACCCAACTCCCCCATTAGTGCACGAGTTTACCTCTAGAGGTCATCAGGCAGGATTTACGACTGGACAACAAAAGCACGTGATTCGAAGTCGTACCCCATATTTGGGTGCCTACGTAGGAGGGAACCAAGTACATGTCCCAGTCATTTCCATAATTCATCATAAATTGTGCAAGGGTGCTATAGACGCACAAACGACCGCGAGCCACAAATCAAGCACACATATCAAAAAACAAATGAGCTCTTATTTTGTAAACTCATTTTGCGGTCGCTATCCAAATGGCCCGGACTACCAGTTGCATAATTATGGAGATCATAGTTCCGTGAGCGAGCAATTCAGGGACTCGGCGAGCATGCACTCCGGCAGGTACGGCTACGGCTACAATGGCATGGATCTCAGCGTCGGCCGCTCCGGCTCCGGCCACTTTGGCTCCGGGGAGCGCGCCCGCAGCTACGCGGCCGGCGCCAGCGCGGCGCCTGCCGAGCCCAGGTACAGCCAGCCGGCCACGTCCACGCACTCGCCTCCGCCCGACCCGCTGCCCTGCTCCGCCGTGGCCCCCTCGCCCGGCAGCGACAGCCACCACGGCGGGAAAAACTCCCTGGGCAACTCCAGCGGCGCCTCGGCCAACGCCGGCAGCACCCACATCAGCAGCAGAGAGGGGGTTGGCACGGCGTCCGGAGCCGAGGAGGACGCCCCCGCCAGCAGCGAGCAGGCGAGCGCGCAGAGCGAGCCGAGCCCGGCGCCGCCCGCCCAACCCCAGATCTACCCCTGGATGCGCAAGCTGCACATAAGTCATGGTAAAGCCAGCCTTTTTCTAAATCCACGCGGCCGCGGGGGCGCGGCTTTCGGTCCCCCCTCTCTCCTTTACCGCCCTCTCTCCCCATCTCTCTCCTGGTCTCGCCTCTCCCAGCCCTGTGGAGTCTCTCCCCGCCGTTCTCCTTCCCCTGCTTCCCTCCTTTCACCTTCTCTTCTCTGCAGCGCCCAGCGCTCGCAAATGGGGAGGGGGGTGGTGGAGAAGGGCCGCTGGCCAAGCAAGTTTAGACGGTGCAACGGGGGGAAAAGGAAAAATGCCATATCGAACCCCAGCGCCTCGGAACGCGCTCCCGGGTCAAGCCAGCCGAGCAGGGCGCAGAGAGGTAGAGGATGGCAGTAGGGGCCGTGAATCGGGCTTGTCAGGACGGATAATTTATGAGGAGGGCTACGCTGGGGAAACAGCGTTACTAATTAGAGTCCCCGAAAAGGGGCTTGGGGGGGAATAATCGAGGCGAGAGCCGGCGGGATTCTGAAGTTTGGGAGCAGAAGGGACAGCAGGAAAGGGAAGAAAAAGAAAGCAGGCGCCCCAAGCGTGCAGGCTGGAACAGAAGGCGGCTCGCGGGGCTGGAACTTTAAGGGAGGGTGACCTGGAGGCCACTTGGACGCTCAGGAAAGGGCCTGGCTTCCGTGGGTTTCTGAGAGGTGGGCTGCCTGGGAGGGCTGTTCCCCGCCTCGGGGTGCCAGGGGCAGGGCCAGAGGGCAGGAGAGGGGTGAAGGAAAGCCGGGCGATCCTTCGGGACGCGGCTCCAGCCTCAGATGGGCCGATTGTTCCCAGAGTCCAAATTGTATTGTTTTCTCTCTAGAAAGGAAGAGGGAAGGAAATTCGGGAGGGGTGGGCGGGTGAGGAGAGAGGACTTGTTGAGCTTTTTCTCCCCTGTTCCTTGCTCAGGAACCCTGGCTCGTCCAGCTGACTTGGGTAACCAGGGGCTGAGGAGTTGGTGGCTAAATCGCTGACTTTTCTGTTGCAGACAACATAGGCGGCCCGGAAGGCAAAAGGGCCCGGACGGCCTACACGCGCTACCAGACCCTGGAGCTGGAGAAGGAGTTCCACTTCAACCGCTACCTGACCCGCCGAAGAAGGATTGAAATAGCACATGCTCTTTGCCTCTCCGAGAGACAAATTAAAATCTGGTTCCAAAACCGGAGAATGAAGTGGAAAAAAGATAATAAGCTGAAAAGCATGAGCATGGCGGCGGCGGGAGGGGCCTTCCGCCCCTGAGTATTTGAGCGTTTAAAGTACTGAGCAGTATTAGCGGATCCCGCGTAGTGTCAGTACTAAGGTGACTTTCTGAAACTCCCTTGTGTTCCTTCTGTGAAGAAGCCCTGTTCTTGTTGCCCTAATTCATCTTTTAATCATGAGCCTGTTTATTGCCATTATAGCGCCTGTATAAGTAGATCTGCTTTCTGTTCATCTCTTTGTCCTGAATGGCTTTGTCTTGAAAAAAAAATAGATGTTTTAACTTATTTATATGAAGCAAGCTGTGTTACTTGAAGTAACTATAACAAAAAAAAAGAGGAAAAAAAAACACACAAAAAAGTCCCCCTTCAACCTCGTTTAGTGCCAATGTTGTGTTGCACTCCAGTTGTTTAACTGTGCATGTGAGTGGAAGTGTTCCTGTCTCAATAGCTCCAAGCTGTTAAAGATATTTTTATTCAAACTACCTATATTCCTTGTGTAATTAATGCTGTTGTAGAGGTGACTTGATGAGACACAACTTAACTTGTTTGACGTGTAGTGACTAGTGACTCTGTGACGAAAACTGTGACTCCAAGCGGTGTGTCCCTGCGTGCCTTTGTAGGACCCTTTGCACGAACTCTGGAAGTGGCTCTTATAAGCGCAGCTTCAGTGATGTATGTTTTTGTGAACAAAGTTACAAATATTGTCCGAGTCTGGCTGTTTAAGCAAACTGTGATCAGCTTTTTTTTTTTTTTTTTTGTATTTGTTTTTAAGGAAAAAATACTGACTGGAAACAAAAAAATAAACTTTCTATTGTAAGTTCTCTTGGTCTGGTTTGTGCCAAATAGCAAGCGGCTCTTTCTGTTCTTCCGTCTGTCTGTCCAGTGCTGGAAGGCAGGGAGTCTGAGGCTACCTGAGCAGCCTGCCTGTGAAGGAGACCTCAGACCAACACCCTGACCCGCGACCTCCCTAACTCTGACCCATCAGAGTGCAGGGCAGAAGGTGGAAACGCTGTAGGTGGTTCTCAAGCCTGAGTCCGACCTGCCCATCTCTGAGGAAACCAAGTTAACTTGCTGGGTACAAAAAAGAGGAAAACAGAGAAAGGAGCAAAGCACAGGGCTTTGTTAACAGCCCTCAGGGCCCACACTGATGCTGCCTGTTTCCTGAGGTCACATCCTAGGCCTCCACTTGCTGAAGAGGCTGCTGTGCCACATTGTGGCCCCCAAACCCTCTGCCTCTGACCCACCCAGGCACCCCTTCCCATTCCTCACCCTGAGCCCGGTTGGCTTCTTTTGCTACAATTAATTTGCTACAAATGGAAGGTACTTACCCCATCCTAGCTCGATTGGGAAACTCCTCAGGGCAGCTAAAGCGCAACTAGAGATTTGCACATTTACCGACTGCTTACACTGATGCCGTCTTTCCTTTTAAAAGTTATAAAACAGTAAACTTTATAAGCCCCAGTTCCGGCTATATGACATTTGGGTGCCAAATGAATAGGGTTTTGTCTATGAATTAGATCGTAAAATCATCCATAGCACAGACAGATCGGCTCACTGGCTATAAAACGTCACGTGGGGCCATTAAAGTAAGTTTTATGGTTTTGGGGAGTTGACATCCAACATTATATACCACATAACATATAATCTCACTGACGCTGGACTCCATTTGACTCTTTTGCAGGCTACGTGTGCCGCCTGGTCATTCAAATTGTCAATTTTAGGTCCAGAAGTGTCCAAACCACAAGTTCTCAAAACTCTCTGAAAAATGGCTCCCTCCGAGTTAAGGTAAGCTTGCCTCCTGAGCGCTTTCAAGTTTATTTGTACTCTGAAAACTTTCTTCCTCGATCTCCTTCCCTCCCTCCCTTCCTCCCTCCCTCCCTCCCTCCCTCCCTCTCTCTCTCTCTCTCTCTCTCTCTGTGGTTCAGTAACTCGGAGGTTGCCTCTGAATTCAAAAGGGCAGAGCCAACTCTTCCTCTGCCCACAAGAGCAGCGCCAGGAGCCAGCTCTGCGGAGGCACCCCGGTGAAAAGCGCTTGTGGCCGCCGCGTCCCCAGGCCTAACTTTAATTGCTGCACCACCGCGAATGTTAATGACTTCCGCTGCTCTCGCCGGCGCAAAAGATGATTTTTTGTGTGCGAATGGGCCTGTGTGGGGGGACTTGGCGTGGCCGCCCCCCGTTCCGGGGCTGGCGAGGCTGCCTCTTCGGGGGGTAGCGGAGCCCTAGGGTGGGGGCTGGGAGACAGTGGGGCGCCGGCCGCGGGCGCCAAGGGCCGCGCTGCGCTGGGGAGTGCTTGGAGTTTGAAAGAAAGGCCCGGGCTGGGCCGAGGCGGACTCTGGCGGGATTCCTTACGGGGCTGTGGCAATATGTCTTCGCGGGCCGGGGTCATTTGGCAGCACTGAATTGAGGCGGCTGCCTTCGGGGCCGAGTTTCAGGCTGGCTCGGGAGAGCCGGAGGGTGGCAGAGGCCGGCGAGGCGCCGGCCGCACCTCCAGGCTGGGCCCCTGGGTTGCCAGGCCGAGCCCAGGACGCCGGGGACCGCGGGTCCCCACCTGGGGGTGGCGGGGGTAAGGGCTCACCACCCCCTCCCCCGCACCCGGGACCAGGCCCTGAACCTTGTTTGCCTGCACGTTCTTTTTATTTCGGTGGGACTGTTCTCACCCGCCTGTGAGTCTGAAGCAATAAACTTTATGGCCGGATTTAACTTTAGTCTTTGAATCCCCAGGCTAAATGAAAGGAGTTAAAGCGCTTTCTTTTCTTCCGCCTTCCCTTTCTTCTCGCTCTCTCCTTTCCTTTTCCTCTCCTCCTTTGTAGAATTAAAACATGCAGGCACAGGACGCTCAAAAGGCAACTTAGGGATCTCCCTAGATAACACTAAAGATTAGAGAAATTTACTCCCCCTCAACATACAAACTCTCTCTTCTAAACTGTGCCCTAAAGTTTGAGGGGAAGTCGAGGTGTCTTCAATGCCCAACTTAAAAGTCCCCAGAGCCATTAGGTTGTTTTTCCTGACACATCATAAAGGGTAGTTTAGGGAAGAAATTGGTCGTTTGTCAGTAGGAGATTTCCGCCTTTCTTTTGTTAGCTGCTCTTTCTGTTTGATCCCAGGAAATTTACATAATCTATGATTTCCAAAACAGTTCCCAATATTGCACCAGCACGAAGTAAGGTGAAGTAAATTTTTCCTGGGTACAATTCCAACTTGGCCTCAGCCACCACCCCCTCTGGCCCCAAACCCTCACATTCTTCAGTGACAAAGTGACTGGGGATGCTGTGGCCTGTCCTGGGGTCTTTCTCTGGATGGATACCCACAAGGGACCTTGCAGATTTCCCCCATTCCCTGGAAGAATTAAGCCAAATTCTCCAACTCAGAAATGAAACAAACAAACAAAAAATTAGGACCTTCTGTCTCTTTAGGACCTGGATAGTTTTCTCAAGTGCTAATTGCTAAAGATATTTGCTAAGGGCTTAAAGTGAAAAGATTTCAAGTTCAGTTTTGGAATTTCAACAAACTTTATTGTGCAGACACTCAACATAAGTCCAACAGTTGTCCCCAAAGTCAGAGGCCCAAAAGCAAACCTGGGAAGTTTTTTTTGAAAAATCAAAACCCTCCCACAAGTCCCACTTCTCTGAACCAGTGGCAAGGCAAATCCCTGAAGTCATCTTGCATGACCTGTGAAAAGACTGGCATTGCAGCGCTCAGTGTCCGCATCTTAGTGGGAACTAGAATGTGAACTCTATTTGCGTTCTCTTTTGTTATTTTGTGTGTCTCTGAGAATTCTGGAGTTTTTGTTTTGCTGCTCTGAGTTTTGGGTTCTTTCTTGGAAAATATTGGGTTAAGGTTTTATTTTAGTTACTCATTTGGTGATCTTGGTTGAGTGATTTCTTGGTGACTAAAATTAGTAGCAGAAAAGAGTGATAGGACTTCTGGCAGGTTCATTTGAGTAGCTTGCCTGGAGGAAGCGTCCACACCACCTCCGTGGCCACATCTCACCCTGGGGTGTGGGGGTGGGCAGAAAGGCTATTGGACCGATATCCAGCATTACCCAATATAGACAATCTTTCCCCTGAGTTAAAAAAAAAAAAATACAGCCTATAAATATGGTCAGCTTGCTTATTTCTGTCTGTTGGAATCTTTATAAAACTTCAGAGTTTCTAAGAGAGCAGGTTAACTCACATGGAGTTAAATGACTTTAAAAACATACAGCATCCAATCAGACCTATGTGAGTGTTATTGGAGAATTTTTTTCTTCCTATTTTCATAGGAAGCATAGTAAAGAGGATGGTTTGTTACCTGCTCATTTTGTAGGTAAGGTATTTCTTCTTGTACATTCTTTGGAATTGTTTTTGCAGAGGAACTTACTTAGAAGAAAAAAAAAATCTCTGTCATTAAGGTCTTTATGAAGACATCCAGCTTTAGCCGGTGGCAGAAATGTCTGTCTGTGCTCCTCATCTTGTAAGAGGAGAAGGTGTTCAGTATGTGCAGGGCCTCGTTTGTTTCTACAAGCTGAAGAGACAATATTTCCTGAACTATAAATATAATAGGAAGCTTCTGGTCACACTTACTTAGGGGTTTGTAAGGGTTTCCATGGTCTGATTTCACAACATTATGCCGAGGTTCCTTCTCTCCAGCTCTTTCCCCTGCTTCGTTGTTGGCGGCTCTGGGAGAGCAAGACAGAATTTTCTACCAGAAACAGAGTCATGTTCATTTGTTGAGATGTGAAGAGTATTATAGCCAAACAATTAGTGAGGGGGGAGCAAATTACATCCTGAAAGATGGGCTATTAAAGAGGAAAACAATCCTTTTAGCTTAAAAGTTGCCCTTCGAAGCCTCTCCCCTGCCTTAGCTCCAGAGTCTGTCCCGAGGTTCTTCTACCATGGAGAGTGCAGAATGTTGTGGGTTCCATCCCTTTGGCTTCTAAGGCAGAATTTCTTTCTAGTCAATGACAGAACTATAAACGGGGCTTCCAGACGGGGCTGAGGGGGTCAGCCTAGGTTCCCACCCACATAGGAGAGGGGACCCACAGTGCTGGCCATTCTAACC